TAGCAACCTGTGTGCATGTACCGTCTCGCGCTTTCCTTCCAGCAGTCTTTCGACCTAAAAAACGACCCTGGAAATGGCCCGGCGGATGCGGCGCGGGCCCAGCCCCCAGACAGGCAACTTGTGTCCCTTGCGTTGCGCCTGGCGAACTTAAACGAAATCTCCAATGCAAAACCGAGCCGCCTTGAAGTTTGTTTTTAGGTTGTGCCAGTCTACCTGGCGCTGCCTATTCTTAGTAGAGCGTTCGGCCACACTACGGTGGACGTCGGCCAATGCTGATTGCATCGTTTCCAAGGAGATGAGCTGTTGAACCTGCACTTCGTCCTCAGTGCGGGCTTGCTTGTACTTGTCGAGTGGGAGCCCACGCATCAGGGGCTTCAAAGGCTTCATACCGGTGAACGCCTGCAATGGCGTGCGGTACACTGCGGGGTTGTTCTTGTTGCGCACGCCCAGGCGGCGCAGCGGCGCCTGATTCAGCACACTTTGAATGTACTCAGTCACCGCTGGCCAATCTTGAGGAGCCAAGCGCCACTCCGAAAGCAATGCCTTGCACGCCCGGAGGACCTAGCGTCAGATCTGCTCGACACTTCCATTAGCTCACGGCGAGTATGCCGTTTTAAAATGATGAGCTGCATGAAACTCGCCGGTCAGCTCATCCAAGAGCTTATTCTTAAAAGGGCTCCCTTGATCTCAAACCAACCACTCCAATCCGCCAAACACCCCAATCCACATCGTGAGTGCCTTCCCGGCGGCTTCGTTTGGGGCGTCTGTTTTCGGCCGCAAACACACATATCCCGACAGATCGGCCCGAATCAGCAGCACGTACTTCTGTTCAGTACTGCTGGCGCCGATGAACAAGTATTCCATGTGCTGCACCACGTTCGGCCGTTCCGTCTGAAGAGCGGAAGCGAGTAGCCTCGGGATGCGCTCTCCAGCACGGGTAGCCAAACAGTGAGTAAAGCTGTTTAAAAACTGTGCCACGTCCTTCTTCTGGGATTCCCAAAAGAAATCCTCGCGCACTGTGCCCTAGCAGATCTGGTGGTCCAGTAATGGTGGGTGCTGGACATTTATTGGCGGATGATTGGTTGGTGTAAAAGCGATTGGTTGGCTAATGGTTCAGGATATTTTGCACGATTAATTTGTATCTATCTGCATGGAATAATATCTGGTCGATTGCAAACTGGTTCACCGACCAATTGCCGATTGCCGACCGTTTTCTTAATATGGCTGATATGCTATTTGGTTGGTCGACTAGTTGCAAAGGATAGTAACTGACCAATCACGGCTGTCATCGACCGTACAGAAACACAGCGTATGCTTCACAAGTAACTTTACAGTACTTCGAAGATCTGTAGCAGACGTCAACCCCCTAAATCCCCTAGTCCACAACATGCATCCCACCATCCCACCATCCCTGATCCTTGCTCCTCACATTACCTCCCCCCACCGCTGCTGTTCCTCCATCTCACCTGACAACAACAAGGGGAGAAGCGCTTGGCAGCGTACATGGGGTTCATTACTTTCTGAGGATGTTTGAAAAGACAAATCTATCGTATTCAAAACACGCCGCCCCACTTGGGCTTCTCGGGTGGAGCAGGAACTAGCTGGTTTCAAAGAACTTAGTACACCCGAATACTGCAAATAGTGCGGTCTGCACTATTTTGGAACGCCAAT